GACATGAAACAATCAGACTAGTGATTGCAATAGCTGCTAACAGGAATTGGCCTCTGATGCATTTAGATGTAAAATCTGCATTTCTGAATGGTCCATTACAAGAAGAGGTGTACGTTTCACAACCTCCTGGATTTGAGAAAAAGAATCAGGAAGGGATGGTATTCAAATTACACAAAGCATTGTACAGATTGATGCAAGCGCCCAGAGCTTGGAATTTGAAGATTGATTCATTTTTCAAGGAACAAGGGTTTCAGAAGTGTGAGATGGAGTATGGTGTTTATGTTCAGCATACTTCAGAAGATAATATGATTCTGGTATGTTTGTACATTGATGACATACTACTTACAGGAAGTTCTAAACAAGAGATAGTTGAGTTTAAGAAAGTTCTGATGAATGCATTTGAGATGACAAATCTTGGAAAATGAGTTTCTTTCTAGGGATGAAATTTATGTACTCTGAGAAAGGAATCATTTTACATCAGATGAAGTATGAACTAGAGCTTCTGAAGAGATTTAAGCTAGAAAATTTCAAGGTTGCTATCACACCTGCTGATACGAATCAGAAGTTGGACTCTGATTCTGATGGAGAGGATGTGAAGGCTACAACCTTCAAACAGATGGCTGATTCTCTAAGGTATTTGTGTAATACTAGACCAAAGTGGTCCCATTACCAAGCTACAGTCAGGATTCCGAGGTATGTGAAGGGAACTCTGAAATATGGAGTGTTATTTCCATCTGGAAGAAAGATCGAATCAGAACTTCTGAGTTATTCTGATTCTGATTGGTGCGGAGATAGAGTTGGCAGAAGAAGTACTGCTAGGTACTTATTCAAATTTCTGGGAGGTCCTATTTCTTGGTGTTCCAAGAAGCAACCTGTTGTTGCTCTGTCAACTTGTGAAGTTGAATATATTGCAGGTGCTCTGACTGCATATCAAGCTGTATGGATTCTGAACTTGCTAAAAGATTTGAAGATTGAGGTAAATAAACCTCTGAAGCTGATGATTGATAACAAGTGCGCAATCAATCTTGCCAAGAATCCAGTGTTGCATGGGAGAAGAAGGCATATTGAGACCAAGTATCATTTTCTGAGGAATCAATCATAATGAAATATTAGAGGTTATGCACTGTAGCACTCAGAAGCAGTTGGCAGATATTCTGACAAAGGCTATAAAAACTGATCAATTTCTTGGTTTAAGGGATGAAATTGGTGTTGTTAGTTTTGGTTAAATAAAAATTAAGGGATGGTGTTAGAATTAATTTAGATTTAATTAGATATTAATTTATATTTAGAAATATCTTTTAGATTGTTTATATCTTTGTTAGAAGATATATATCTTAGGTTTTCTTAGATCTTTGTAGAAGATATATTTTAGATTTAATTTTGTGTATAAATAGTCTAGTGGAGTAGGTTATTGTAATTTCATTATAAATCTTTATTTTAAAGCTATAAGTAAATATTTCTTTTGTCTTTCTTCCTTGTATATATATATATATATATATATATATATATATATATATATATATATATATATATATATATATATATATATATATATATATATATATATATATATATATATATATATATATATATATATATATATATATATATATGACTTATAATTGGAAAATTCAGCTTGTTGATTGAGCTTATTAGATAACATAGTCTATTTAAACAGTATAGTAATTATACTGTAATTATTTTGAAATAATATTAAAAACGTACACCTTAATTATATTATTCTTATTATATTTCTACAAATATTTACATAATGGAATTAAAAAAATTATACCGATAATGCACACAAATTAAATTCTTTTCTTAATCTATATACACACTAACATCAAACAATAATTATAACTCACCAACTAAAAACATGACGGTTGTTAAAGATAGGGCTCATTAATTGAGAAACACTTGATGATAATGAAATCATAATAAATACACATTAAAATACTCATTCTCAAATACACACACAACAACCATTACTATAGTTCTAGGCCATATTCCTTAATTCATTTCGTTGTTTCCACAATAGATTTGTTGGAAGAAGTTGGTTGAATAAAATGATTCACTCTTCTCTTTACTTGTATGTATCGGCACATACGAATTTTATTAATGAAGTTTGTAGATTTTGTTTGATACAGGCCGATACATGCATTACACAGGCTGATACATACTATAACTTTAAGTTTTATGTGTCGGTACATATAGTTTTCAAGCTGACACATCTATTGCAGTATTAAAGGTTGTAACTACTGACTTACATAAACCGACACATCTACTTTTTCAGGTCGTCACATACTATTAATTTTTTACTTATGTGTCGGTACATACGTATTTCAGACCGACACATACTGTTTGATTGGGTAAATTTTAAATTTTTTAAAATTTCGAAAATTCTCTTTTTGCATATAGACATCCACAATTATAAATACATCATTCATGCATCTATTCAACTCAATGAAACTATAAACACGTACCACTATTTCTCTTCACCTTCAACCTCTAACCTATGCATACACACTGATAAATCACACATAATAATCTTTTGTCAGGGTGCCATCTAGGCGAGGTTTAATAACGTCTAATTAGGTTTTTGCGTAACCGAGAATATTTGGTTGAGAATTGTGGGGGATTTCATCAGGAAAAACCTAGGATTTGTCCTCCAAGATCTTTGGTAGATTTGGAGGTTTCGTATAAGACTTTCAAAAGAGGATTGCGGTCAAGTGAAAATACTTAAGAGTTGGTACCCAAGGAAGCAGCGAGAAAAATACGAATCAAATTGAAAGTGCTTGTGTTCAATAGTTACAATTGATCGTACGTGAAAGAGATTTGAATTTTTCTACCCAAATGAGTAGCAATATTCGATAAATCAATTGGTAGATATTGTGTCTTGGTCTTGTTGAAGATCAAAAGAAGAGAAAGGGTTGAATCAACATCAAACAATTAGGGTTTGTAGGGTTTCTCTTGAACACCACCTCATATTTTTTGCATAGTAAGGAATTTATCTAAATTCTAAAATGGAATTCGAGGGAGACATAGACATAGAGAGGACGAATGGTAAACTTCCTAAACAAATTCTTGTCTCTCTCTCTCTCTCATATCTCTTTACTCACTTTTATTTTTCATTACGTAATTTGTTGAATTTTATTGATTGATCGATCGACTCGTAAGAGTTTTTCTGTGGTTGTTTTTGTTTAAATTTGTTTGCTGATTAGATTATAATCACTTTGATTATAATTGCTTTTTCATATTAACAAAACTCAAAAGAAAATTCAGAAAATTCGATCGCACACCAATTGTTTGAAAAATTGCAGTGTTTTATATTTTTGCTTAATTACATTGGAAATAGATTGCTAGTAAATCATGATAAACGAGTAACTCTCATTTACTTTCTATATACAATTTGTTGAATGCGTTGTTTGATCAATCGATTCATATAAAACTTTTCTTTGATTATTAAAGTTTAAATTGCTTTGTTGATTAGCTTATAATTATTTTGATTGTAAGTGCTTTTTTATATCAACAAAGCTTAAAGAAAATTCTAAAAAGTCGATTGCGCACCAAGTATTTGATAAATTGTCAAGTTATATTTTTAACTTGATTTCAGTAAAATAGAAAACTGTTAGGTTTGATATTAAACTGTTAATTTAGATATTATTATGTTGATTGATTTTATCATTATCTTAATTTCATACGGCTTGTGCATATAGGAGTTTCCAATAACTAGGTTCGTTTAGACTACTAATTTTATCTAGGCCACAAATCTTCCGCTTAATATTGTTTTTCAAATAAGTTTTTAAATACCTATTTTTGAAAGGTAATTTTCAATTGGGGATCTAATCACCCTCTCTAGATAAATCGCCGCAGTCTAACACGTATGTCCAGTAATTCGATTATATGTAGAGTTTCATAACTTAGATTGAGACATATTTTTTTATGGGAAAAGAAAGCTAAAAATGAGCTCTAGCCATTGGAATCACTGTAACCGCGATATAGCCATCATGAGAGCGTAAAAAATATTACAATAGCGATGCTGCTGAGACAAAATCATAGTTGTCGCAATGGCGTCAACGTGGTCGCGATGACATCATTGTGGCACGATGGAAGACTTTCTAACACGTTTCTACTTCTATAAAAAGGGAAAAACACATAAAAAAAAGGTGTTGACACTTTTGATACTTAATTTTAACGGCAAATAACTTTCGAAAGCTCTGAAGCAAAGATTTTCATCATTGGAAATCAAATTCTAATTAGATATTCATTTTACAGTTATCCATATTACTTATAATCTCGTCCCAATATAACAGAACGAAACACTCGAGAAGATCGATATTTCATCAAAGAGAATTTGTATAATAAATTGATAACTACCATCTCTAATTTTTTTAAGTATATATATATATATATATATATATATATATATATATATATATATATATATATATATATATATATATATATATATATATATATATATATATATATATATATATATATATATATATATATATATATATATATATATATATATATATATATATATATATATATATATATATATATATATATATATATATATATATATATATATATGACTTATAATTGGAAAATTCAGCTTGTTGATTGAGATCATTAGATAGCATAGTCTATTTAAACAGTATAGTAATTATACTCTAATTATTTTTGAAATAATATTAAAAACGTACACCTTAATTATATTATTCCTATAATATTTCTACAAATATTTACATAATGGAATAAAGAAAATTATACCGATAATGCACACAAATTAAATTCTTTTCTTAATCTATATACACACTAACATCAAACAATAATTATAACTCACCAACTAAAAACATGACGGTGGTTAAAGATAGGGCTCATTAATTGAGAAACACTTGATGATAATGAAATCATAATAAATACACACTAGAATACTCATTCTCAAACACACACAACAACCATTACTATAGTTCTAGGCCATACTCCTTAATTCATTTCATTGTTTCCACAATAGATTTGTTGGATGAAGTTGATTGAATAAAATGATCCACTCTTCTCTTTACTTCATCAGGATTTGCACCCACAATTTTGTCCACAGGTGTTCCTCCACTCAATAACAGAAAAGTAGGTATAGCTTTAATTTCCATCTTAGAGGAAATTTCCTGAATATAATACAACAAATATATTAATAGAAAAAATGGTTAGAAATTATCTTGATCTTATAATAATATCATAAAGGCAAAATTACAGGTTTGTTCACAATGCATATATGAGACAAAAATAAAACATAAAGGTAATCTCAAAAAGAGTTTCATTGCATATATTATGAGGTAAAGTTCCATTGCTAAAAGTTAAGCACATATGAATATTTTTATTGAAGATTAGATTAGAGATAAGCTGAAGTAATACTCTACTAGAATATATAGTATATGCAAACAAAGAACATGTGATACATAATGGTGTTTGGAATCAGAATACAAACACTTTCAATGGATTTCTATGGACACTTTTTTTTTATATATACAACTTGCATATAGAACCAAATCAAGCATTAATTTTTACTTTTCAACAATTAAATGTGAGTTGGTGTTTGATTAAATTAATTATTTACCTTAACCTCATCCACATCCATTGTCAGAAACAAAACATCTTGATAGTTGGATGCAAGCTTTTGAAAGAAAGGATTCATAATTATAGATGGCACACACCAAAAGGCAGAGAAATGAACCACAACCTACCAAAAAAAATTAGAAAAATGATTAACATAAAAAATCAATTATGGTAACAACTAAATACAAAGTGATTGAAGTTAAATTAAAAAAAAGAAAAGAAAAAAGGAGACTCACAGGGTAATTTTGATTGGTAGCATAAGAGATATAATGTTCCCATGATTCTTTTGAGTCTATTTTGATAACTTTGGATTTTTTATATTCTTGGCTCTCCATTTTTTTCTTATGTTTTGTTGTTGCTTTTCAAAAGATGATATGTATCTAATATATAAATGAAAAGTCAAGGATGAAATATGATTAGAAAAAATGTTGAGAAAAAATGTTCATTTAATTTTGTTATTGTATTGAATAAGATATTTTTGTAGATTGATGTATGTATACATGATGGGATACAACAACAAAATATTAATGGGACCTATGCTTTAGCCAATACAATGGTCATGGTAACGTGATTCACACATTTAATTAAAAATTAATTTAAAGTTTTACATTATTTTGATTAAAAAAATGGACTAATGATAATGAAGTCATTTACCTTCATATTAATTACTTATGATCACTATTCATTACTGTTAACATGTGATAATAATATTATGATTCGTCCTAGACCCTTTAATTTTTTGAAAATATAAACTCTTAATGATACTTGCAAATATGTAAATAATGAGAAATGAAAAACCAACGATTGGTTATCTTGGGTTTGTATTTGTTGTTAAATATAAGGGCTTTAAAACCTGTCTTGAAAAATGGAATGGGAAACTCTATGGAAATTTTCACCTATTAGTTGTTAAGGTTTAGATGAATTGGATGGGATTCAAGGACTTATGAACAATACATGTTATAATGATTTGTGTGGAGAGGAAGAAAGTAAAGTTTTACATTGCTTACATATAGAGGACCAATTTTGGGGAAATATAATAAATAACAATTGGTTCAAGGATGGAAACAGTAATCCAAGATACTTTTACTCAATGGCCATGTTAAGGCATGCGAAAGTAAATATTGCTATATTGAAACATGGGCAGACTTATTTAGAGAAGGACTCAGAAATTGAAAACCATGTGAACAATATTTAACAGTTAGTTATTTAACACTGATAAAAATTGTATTCATCCTAATTTAATGGAAACAACTAATCACACAAGCAGACAACACTGATTTTATTGGGATTAGAAGGATCTTCAGTGGCCAGTAGCATTTGGATTTCTTCGGTTGTTGAAGTGAATGAAGAGTGTACTTGCAAGGTACTCCTATGCTAAAGTAAGGTTCAGAGTAATAGAGAGCAAGTACAGAAAGTGAGAGTAAATGGAATAGAATAACTGACCCTCTAGTAAGATAGGGTATTTATAGAGCCTCCAACGCTGGGCCAATGTCCTCATTGTGGGATGGATTTCCAGGCTCAGAACGGGCGACTGACAGGATCCTACATGGGTAGGGAAGACCGACACGTGGTCTTCGTCCTAGATCAAATTGTGTCGTGATCTTCGGATGGTGGATTGACCACGTCAGCTACGAAGGGCATAACGATTTGAAGGGTGTGGAGCAAGCTGGTGAGGTGTCTTCGGAAAAGCTGGTGAGGTGTCCTCGGAAAACGGGCACATGGTCAGTGTATACCCAAATTGGTTTCCTAGAGTCCGTGCCATCAATTGGGCCGTTGTGGGCATGAAGGTGACTTGGGTCATGCTCGACGTTGGGCCCTGCTCGGGTCCAGTCCAGAACAGGAGCCCCCAAGTCGTTGCTCATAGGCGAAGGAGTAATGACTTAAGGTCGGCCCGCGTGTCATGGAAGTCTAATCTTCGTATGTGCTTGCACTTATCGGCTCGTGGTGATGTCATTCGTCTGGAGGGTTTTTCTCCTGTGTGGTTGAGATAACACGTATGAGTCGCGGTCAACGACTTTGGTGGCTTGTCCCGCATCATTAACTCTTGGTTGGTGTTCGACATACGGTGAGACGAGAGAGTCTGGGTATCGGGAAGAGAAAGGTACGTTTATCGAGTCACATGTCATAGCCTTTAATGCGCAATGATGGCCTAGGAGAAGGTGAAGTGACACGCCGTTTAGGTGACAAGCCTTCCCGTACGCTGACATGTTTCCCTGTGTGTGGGGAGCTGGCTATAGGTACCTGTGACTTGATCCCATTTTCCACTTTTCTTTCTCTCGTCCAACTCCTGCTCTCTTTCTTCCATCTGGTTTCTTGATTTAAGGGTTCTTTCTTTGCCGTTGTCGTCGTTGTGCATTTTCCAGTCCTTATCTCTCTTCTCAAACCCAGTAAGTCTCCTTTGAATCCCATCTTCTTTTATTTTTGTCTTAGGGTTTTGTTTGTATTTCGCACTGAGTGCTTCGTATGTTTAGTTTGGCCAGATTCTGCCGCGTGTTGGTGTTCGGTGGTGGTCTGACCATCCTTGAGTGCCAACTCCGTTGCGAATGCTGCACTTTGGCTTGAGGTTTGCTTGATTCTATGACAAAGTTCATGCGATGGGGAGGTTTCTCCTCGTGACATTCATAGCTTCATGATGAACTTCATCGAAAGGGAAGGCTTTTCACCGTGAGATTCATGAATTCATGATGAACTTCATGTAAATTAGAGGCTTTTCCCCACGAGATTCATGAATTCTTGATGAACTTCATACATGTGAAGTGAAACTCTTCAAATGATCTACATATGTTTTGATGACGACAAAATTCTCAATAGCTTGAAGACAAAGATATTTCAAAGAAAAAGATCTAAGTCAAGCTCATGATTTCAACTTTTACATAGGTATATGAAAATCTAAACTTTTATAATCTTAGTGCTCAAAAATATTTTTAATCATGCATATAAAGATTCTGGTGAAAAAATGAGAAAAATTAAAGTGCTATATTTTTAAAATAATATTTTTTAAGTTTTTGATCTAGTGGAATCAATTGCACCTTTTCCTCAATCGATTGTACAATTAGAAAAACATGAAGAAAATGATTCTATAGTTACTTCAATCGACTGCATCCTTATGAAAATTGATTTTCATAGTTAAATTTTTCAAATTTTTACAACGTTAAAATGATACAATCGATTGTATCATTACTGCAATCGATGGTATGCTCCAAGATTTTGAAAAACTATTATTTTCCTGCACCTTTTGAGAAACATCTCTTCATGGCAACACTTGTATCTTTTCACTTTCAATTATTCAAAATCTCTCCAACCTTTGCCATGATTTTTGAAAAGGTATTACTTCACTATAAATTGTTTCTGATTTTTCAAAATCAAATAACCTCTTTCAAATTAATAAAAATTCTCTACAAAACTTTAACAAGAACCTTTCTATATTCAGATTTGTGAACATAATTTTCATTGCATATTGAATGTTTTCTTGAGCACAAAAGAGAGTAATTGTTTCTAATTTTCATATTTGATAGAGAAGATCAATCAATTGATTGATTCATTATTCACCTTCATCCAAACTCTTGTAAAAATCAAATACACTTATTATATATTTGCTATCCAGGATTGTTGGAAGCAAGTTGTGCATTAAAGAGGATTACTCTTCTTGCACTTAGTGGTTTAGATCTTAAGGGTTTTAAGAGCTTTTGATCTCCCTATAGGTTAGATAGTAAGCATCACCATTGATGTGAAAAGGCTGTACAATCATTCTAACTATAATGAAATCTCTTAATTGTGTAAGGGGACTGGAGCACTCTCGGTCTATGAGGGGAACCAATATATATCGCTGTGTCTTTTTACTTTCTGCACTTTACCGTTTCCTAAAACCATCATAACTAGAAAAATACTTTATATGTTTAACAAAAACCGGTAAAAATTTTAAAGAACTTAATTCACCCCCTCTTAGGGGTTCTCTAAACTTATAATATGACGGGGAGGCTTTCTCCGCGAGATTCATGGAATCTCGATGAACTTCACATGACAGGGAGGATTTCCCCGGGAGATTCATGGATCCTTTGTCGGGGGTAATTTTCCCTTATCCCCTTTTTGTGCTATTGAGTAAGGGCTATGTTCGAGGAGTTTGTCATCGTCCTTCGTATGCCCTTTCACTTGATTTGCGGTGGAAGGGTAGATTTAATTTGATGGTCGAATTCATTGTTCTCTTATGCTTTTCAGGTCTGACAGCTCGCAACTCTTAAGGGTTTCAGTTAGTCAATAGAGTTACTGATCCCAAGTTGATTTGATCGGGCCAGAATCGCAGGCTATAGCCTCTCGCTTTATTACCTTCCAAGATGACGCGTTCAGAATTATCGAGGAAGACATGGGCAAAGAAGGATTCTAGAAGAATTGGAAGATCTTCAAACCCATTGAGACCAAGAGGGACTGTTCGTTCAACAAGGAGAACCGTTTTCCCATGTATGACTTTATCTTCAAGGAATTGGGAGTTCGCCCGCCTTTTAGTGAATTTCAGGATAGAATCTTTGGCCATCTAGAATTAGCACCTTCCAAGCTTCACCCAAATGCAATTTCTTTTATTCGTGCGTTTGAGATCGCGTGTCGGTATCTTGAGATCGGGGTGACGTTTCCTTTGTTCTTATGATGCTTTCATCTTCAACGACAATCCTCAAATGGGAAACAAAGTTGGGTTTACTTGAAGCAGTCGAAGATGATTTTTAAGATGTTCATGGACTCTGTCCGTGACTTCAAGGATCAATATTATCTTATAAAACCTGTGACGCATAAAGCTTTTGATTCGGTGCTCGAGCGGGCGATATTGGTTTACGTGGACGAGGAGGTGTGCTATGATGAAAATGGGAACGGGATTCAGAGATAGTCTCTAAGTTTCCTCTTCATTGGTGCGAGGATCATTTATTGAATAAGTCGGAGCATTACCTCACTAAAGCAGACGATTTGGGCGATGAGGATGAAGCGTCTTAACAAAACCTTAATAACTTTGTGGATGGTTTTTTCCCCGCCAAATGGGTGACGAGGAGTGGGGACGATTACCTCGATGATGAGGGTCAGCTCGTGTATGAGGCTTGTCTTATCAATACTGAGGAGTTTCTCAAATGAAAAAACTTTGAGGAAGCTGTAGTGCTTCTAAGTAGCCACGCTTTACTTATTTTAGTGTGTTTGTGTGTTTTTATCCTTGTTGTACTGACGTGTGTTTGTTATTTGTTGTAGATAAGATATTGATTTTGAAGGAGTGTGTGCTTAACGCATAACAAAGGAAAAGCCCATAAGGCTCGGAAGAAAATGACCTGCTTCTCCCCACCGCAGACTAACCTAAGAATGG